GTATATATGTATTTGTGTTGATAAGCCTGAGTGGTTTGTTGACTGACCGTTAGTTCAAATAATTGTTATGGGCAGGTTACAATATAAAAATTTGTTTGTCATAATCACGTCTTGTGATTATCTGACAGGAGTTTTACTTATAAGTGTACTTAAAATACACTTACTTGTAAGTGTATTTAATTTAGTTATAATGTAAATACAATAAAAATTAAAGCAAAATTTAGAATAATTATCAATTTGATCCGTACGTTGCACTGGGCCTCGTGTCACTTTATGTTCAATAAATTGGGCCCTGAGGTCAAAAAGGTTAAGAACCCCTGATTTAATGAGTTCCCTCACCAGTGATGTTAACAGAGCGCGCCAAAGCCACGTTAGCCTCGCCAACAGCACTGAGGAGGGCGCTGTAGTGAACCAGCCAAGTGATCCGGTTGTTCACCACGATTTCCCGCAGGTTCTTATAATCCAGGATGTCTGAGTAGATGAAGGGGCCTGAAAGTGACAGAGAACAAACATTAGGCTTGGTTCACTGGTAACACTACATTGTCCTTAGGTGTGAGTGACAGCGATAATGATAGTTTGTCTTGTTTGTCGCTACGTGACCTTGCAACCAGGAAGTGAGAAGTGTACAGAAAATGGATGGTATGGATGGTTGGGTGGAGTTTAATTGCATATAACAAGTTGGTAATTCAGTTTTTGTAGTTTATGCTTTACTGTCACCAAATGTTACACCTATCAAGAGAAATTGCCATGGTAATGCCACATATTGAGATTAAAAGAAGATTTACGCCAAATAAAACTTAAGTAACTTATCACATTAAACTTCCCAGTTGTGTAATAGCAAACTTTTCACATTGGTCACAAGTGAGCTACATGTGACAAAAAGACCTTCTGGACTGTTTGAGTTTACTCACCACTGTGAAAAACATTGCTAGGAGGTTTCCTTATGTCGGACAGAATGACATTGTTCTTTCCAAACCGCTTCCTGTACGCAAGTCAGTTTGACACAAGTTACCAGACTTGATTAAACCTGTTGTAGTTAAAAATGCATTTATTTCCTGTTTGGAAGATTCCTCACCTCAGCAGCTTGGCCAGGCCAACTCCAAGTTGTCCCAGGCCACCTGGAAAAAAAACAAAAAACAAGTGAATGAGATGCAGCTCATCAGGATCCATTTCCATAGATACAGAGGTAACCAAGGCTGTAGGCAAACAGCCACAACATTAGACATCTACTCTTTGTCTTCACCTGGAAACCCCTGCATCTTCCGCTGCCAAACCTCTTACAAACCCTGCTGTTCTTCAAGTCCCTCCAGAGCACATTTTGTACGAGCTCACAATTAATCTTTACAATCCACAATTTAGCTACCATGCAATAAAACAACAGCTTTTATTGCCCAAAAAAAGTGATCTATGATGTCTGTGAGCTGCAAAACCAGGTGCGGCCTTACCTGTGATGAGCACTTTGGGGTGGTCCGTTTCTGAGAAGGACACGGAGTGGAAGCTTGCGTCAGAAGTGACCTGCCGAGGGGAGAAGCTGATGTTACGCACAGCCACGGTTACCGGCTGGCAGCCGCACCCCGGGGTGCTGAGCAGAGCCTGCTTGGCAACCTTGCTGATGGTTCTGATGACAGGCATGCTGGTACCTACAGGGGGAGTGAAGAAAAGTTTTGTCAGATTTAAGTAACAATGCTTGTTGGACACATATTCGTTCTTAAGCCAGAGGATTTACAAAAATAAGAACCTGCATTGGGGGCTCAATATAAAACAAGACCCAAAGCATGACAATAAAAATGAATTTTATTTTTGGAGAAATCATGAATGCATAATCAGAGATCACTTCTTTATGTGAGAAAATAAGTAACTTCAAACATCTGCTCTGCCAAATCTTTCACTCTGTGTAACCTAAACAACACTTCAATGCAACTTCAATGAATCACCAACAACTTTCCAAGTGAACCTCAGTCACACAGGAAACCATCTCAGTCAATTAAGGTTTACAAACACTACGCCCTCTCCAAAGGCTCAAGTTTAGCGCAAACTGACCCTGTCAGCGCTTACCTGTGTGTGCTGTTCAGAGCTTCCAAAAAGAAAGAAAAAACGAAACGTGAGAGTATTTATACAGCCCTGCCTTCACCGAGAACCAATCAGAAGGAGAGGGCGTAAAGAAGACAGCAGCAAAAGAAATCCGTGCCAAAAGAAGGTCTACGACCTCGGTGACCGGATTATTTGGGAATATTATTGGAACGCATTGGAAATCCAATAAACGCGCTTTTATTTTCTTGAGTCAAAGGGGCACCGTTTAATTGGCTGTGTGAAGGGGAAAAGAGGCAAAAAAAAAAAAAAGCGTCAGCAATATAGCTTTTGTTGCTTTTGCGCATCGGTGTCGCCTTCCGTGCGCTGTTTTGCGCGCAGTGTCCAAATCCATTTACGCAGGCATCAGGTGAGCCTGTTGTGTAACGTTCCGTCTGTGCGTTATGGTGCCATGTTTAACAGGTACACAAGACACATTTATGCAAGTTTCCCTTATGAGAGGGAGGGGTGGATAAGGAAAAAAAAAGGAACAGCAAGAAATGTCAGGAAGCCAACATATTTCTGAATGAAAACTAGTGTTTTATCTTAGAATTTACGTTTTGAAAGGCAGTCACTTCAAAAAAAATAAAACAAAAGCAGGCCAGCATCCGGGGAAAACTGTATATTAGGCAATTAAATCGGTAAAGTGAATTAAAAGCACTTACAGAAACTCTTCAAATATATAAAAGGAGAATTTTACGCAAAAACGGAAGCACTTTGGCACAAATTTGCGCATTTTGATTAAAAAAACAGCGTGAAACTGTTGAAAACTTACAAAATCATTAAGAAAATATATGACTGAATATGACTCACCAGTTAAAACGATAAGCCAAATATAAAAGAAGAAAAATAAAAAAAAAACAGACTGGTCTGACTTGTTTTTAGGAATAAAAGAAAAAGAGGGGAGAAGAAAGAGAGAGATGCTGCTTCTTCCTGCACGCACGCACTGAAGTGAGTGACGTCTCTCCGTGTTATCTTCGTTCAGTGTTGCATCAGCTGCGCGCGATATATACCATGAGCGGGTGGGGGTGGGGGGGCGCGGGAGTGGGTGAGCCGGCTTTGTGTCGGATTGGTGAAGCCTCGGAGGTGCGGTCCTCCCTCACAGACCACTTCCCTCCTCACGCGCGCACACACGCGTACGTCACCCGATCAGAGAGAGAGAGAGAGAGAGAGAGAGAGAGAGAGAGAGAGAGAGAGAGAGAGAGAGAGAGAGAGAGAGAGAGNGAGAGAGAGAGAGAGAGAGAGAGAGAGAGAGAGAGAGAGAGAGAGAGAATTAAACTGCACCCCCTCCTCCACCCTTTGGTGCCAGATCAGCAGAGGCTTTTTAAAAATGGTTTAGGCTACTTCATCAAAAACTTGATAACAGACAGATACAATGACATTGTTAAACTCAAGGTCATGCAAGAAGTTTGTGTAGGGGAAAAAAAGGCAAACGGATAGAAGAAAAAAAGTTAAATATGTTGCGTAAAATGTATTTAAAACCAGAATTTGCAACTCTCATGAACTCATACTTTATTCAAACATAACTAAACATCAAATCTTTAACTAAAAACTGTACGATTTTAAGTAAGAATTGGGCAATTTTGAATTTTATGTCTCATCGCATCTCAAAAAGTAAAAGGCAACAAAAGGCTGTAAAAGTGATAGAGCAGGGGTCTCCAACCAGTAGCTCATGAGCTCATTTAAAGTAGCTCTTCAGTGCTTGTGAAAAATTAGGAGAAGCAAAATTTAATTTGTCACTGGCCAAACAAACTTTCATTTAATTCCAATCAATCTATAGAAGTTTCTTCCCCTTGGTTGTCAAAAAAACAGTTTAGGGCTCAGTGTGGCTGATCGACAGACGAGTCAACGACTGCGACACACACTGTGCCAAGCTCCTGGGAAACCAAGGACACTGCACGGGGTTTCTTCCCCCTGGAGTCTACAATGCGGAGAAAAAAAATCTGAGACCATCACCTGACGTTATTGTGCACAAATCTGTCCCAGTTAAACCATAAGTTAGTAGTATAAATTACACTGTCATATGAATGGATAAACACAAAAGCTATATTCATGTGAATTCAGTGTTCTTTGTGGTGGTTTCATGTGAATTGAAGACAATGTTTTTTGTGCAAAACAAGCTTATTCCAATAGCTTGAGTTTAAGTTTAAAATTAAATGTTGCAAAAAGTAGCTCTTGGACAATTTTATTTTGTGGAAGTAGCTCTTAAAGGCACAGTGTGTAGGATTTGTTGTTTTCAGCGACATCTAGTGGTTGAATCATCCTCCCTGGTCCTCCCCCCACCCCCACCCCTTCCAAACGCAAAGGAGTTGCTACGGTGTCTCTCAGGTGTCAAAAACCTTTGATAATTCCAACAGCGATGTCTACCAGCAGCTTCAGGGCTAGTGATATTTCAAGTGGTAAGATTATGAGCTTTAATAAGTAAAATTATCCCAGTTACACTGACAGACAACAAATATTACATTTATAGTATTACAACTAAAACCGTTTTTGACACCGCCACCGCAGTTTGTCCTTCATGAGCCTTCATAGACAAGATGGAGGCTGCCTGTAGGGCGACCCGCGACCATGGAGATATAAACAGCTTTTTATAAGGTAAAAATAATAAAACAAAGTCTTTGTCTGCAATAATTAGACATGTTTTTTATTATTGTTATTAGTGGTTATCTCAATTTCGGCTAAAAGACTTGACTTGACAAAATCCTACACATTGTTCCTTTAATGAAAAAAAGGTTGGAGAGCCCTGGACTAGAATAACTAAATAGGTTAATTAGTAGGACTTAAAACAGTGTCTTTGTTTTGCTCATGGTTCACCAAACTTCAAAAAATGTCCAAAAAATAATGAAACCGTTTCGAAATAATGTTCCTCAGTGGCAAATTGGAAAGACCCAGGAACACATTCACAAATCACTGTCTGTAAACAGCTCTGCGCCATCCATGAATGTGGGTTGTGTGTATTTTCCAGGCACAAAGTTCCAATCTACACCACAATCAAGTAACTATTCAGTTGTTATGAAAATTCTGTTTGGATCAAAAATAAAATTGACTTTGCAGCACAGCTTATCTAAATGTCATGAAATTGGCCACTCTCTTTAAGAACCTACCATTTCTGATACTCCCACTTCAGCATGTCTTTACAACAGTGCTTCATGTCGTTTACAACTGTTCTGCTAAACTACTAAACAAGATTAATGCATTATTTTTATTAGGAATTGTAATAAGTAGTCTTCCTTGATGAAGGCATTCTGTAACCCCAAAAGGACTGAACTGAGAAGTAGTTGCATGAATGAGTCAAAGCAACACTCTGGGTTTTGTTTTGATGAAGAAATGACATTATAACAAGATCTAAAGCTAAATACAAATCGATCTGAACCATCACTTTCAGAAAAACAAAAAGCTGTAAATGAAATGCACACATTTGAGTTAACTGCAATCAGCATAGGTACATGTTTTTTCCCCAAATTGAACGTTCCTCAATCAACTAACTATTTTATTTTACCTCTTTCTTTTATTGTCTTTGTGATCTGTTGAAAATATTAACCCTTATTTTTTGTACTTTTCTGGCTTTATCACATTATGCATTTAGTTGAGCTCAGATGAGACTCACAAATGTGACGTTAGTAACTTGAAAGTACTGTATGTACAAACACTTCAACTATTTTGTCAACATTAAAAGCTGCAACTGTTGAAAATGAACTTTGTTATTCCTGTTTTTTGAGATGAGCAATGAGCCTACTGGACTTTCCCTCCTATCTTGTGTGACCTAATGCGTGTCGTCACACAAACAGAAAAGCTGCCAGGTCATGATGTCTACCAGGAAATAAAACAAAACGCAAATTTGCTAAGAAATAAGCCTAAATGAGACAAATGATGGTTGACATAACTTTTTTTTAAATTAAATCCACTACATGTGTTTTTAGAGTGCAGTCGACTCAGTCTGAGGCATAATATAAAAAAAAAAAGCACACAAAAAAAAGATTTGCAGTGATTTACAAAAAAGTGGCATTGGTTAAATGTACGAGGAAAATATACAAAAGGAATTGCCCTTGTTGACCTTTCACTGTATATAAATGATTTAGTCATGTAGCTGAGATCTTTGAATTCTTTAACCCTTTAATTGGAAATAAAGTTCATAAAAAGCGAGTGTCAGTATAAAAGCAGTTTTTTTCCCTATTTTACTTGGATGAACTTCAATAACCCTAAAACTCCACTCATTTCTAGGAAGATGATTTCCCCTTCCGGACCACAGATTTGTTGTGTACGTGATCAGTCATGTACAGTATGAGAACAGTTACACGTCCTCGGTGGGGAAGCGAGCGAAGGCGGAGCTTCAGAACTGTCAACATGCTGTTACACGGCTGTGAAGCAGCTGATCTCTGGTTATTTATTCTTCAGGCACCTCGTCAGATGATTGCTTCGTCACAGCAGTGGGAAATGTCTCCGGTGGGCCTCCTGGGGTACTGTTTACCAACTGCTCGACAAGCTGCGGAGGGGACGGGAAGCGGAGAACTAAAATTACACACCTTCTGCAGTTACAGAGGAACATCTCAGTCAGTTGTGTAGAAGGGAGAAAAATCTGCACAAACAAAACTGCATAAAGCTTTTAAGGGAAAGCGAAATGCAAGCCGCTGCTCTGCTCAGATTCCCACAGAGGTGCAGCCTGTGAGGGCAAAAATGTCACCCGTGTAAAAATGTGTGAAATTTGAGACTGTGGAAACTCGAAGCCACAGGCTAAAAAGACTGCACACAGCTTTCGCAAGGTATGGTCAAGCAATGCAAATATTTCCACCCGAGCTTTTACCGAGCGCCGTGAAGCTCGTTCCTTCATTCCTTTGCACAAGTGCTGCACAAACAGCTGCATGTGCAAATTCCTTTACAAAAAAAAAAAAAAAAGGTTCAAGAGAAGATGGTGCATTTAAAGTTTATAAAGAAAAACAAAGGATGTTTTATTTGCCTCAGTGATAGATGTGTCTTTTCTTATAAAATCATAATTTAGTGCCGATTTGTTTTGGTGCACTCGCTTTCAGATATTGTTCTGGAAAAAAGACAAAAACACAATCATCTTTCTAATCGTGACTTTTATTAGTTTAGAACATTTAAAAGCATTTATTTGTTTTGAACAGTGAGTTTTACAAGCGCCAAGGGATAAAAGTGCACACATTCTTTTTGATGATTTACAGTAAGGCATTGCACAGAGTCGATAAGCATAAAAAGATTCTATACATACATCATGACGCTATTAGAGTTCTATATTTCATTTTTATAAAGGAAATAAATGCAGGCCATTTTTTAACACATATAAATACAGAACACAGCAGTGACTCGGTTCAACTTTGACTTCCACCGTGAAAGCTGAATTTTTGGCCAAATGTAAAAGAAAAAAAAGACCAGACTTTGTACGCACGTGTAAACATTTCACTTTTAAACGTAGTTTCATGTAGATTAGTGTGAAAACATGACTCTTATCTTGATATGACATTTAAACAAACACATTAATACGAACAACTAAGCCGTTTGAATTTAATAAGCAGAGTGCAGCACATAAACGTCTTCAATACAACATATCAGCCAAAGCATTATGATCACTCCCAGGTAAAGATATGCTGCTAAAATGTTCAATGTTGAGACAAAAACACGTCTTTACAGAGACATTAATTATGTCCTCAACAGGACATCAGGTTGTGCAATAACTGCTTAGGAAAGGCTCCAATATCAAAACAAGAGTTTGAGATATTCACTTTGAGATATTGATTAGTAAAAGCAAACCAAGGACCCAGTGAATATCAGGCAGGTGGTCACAATGTTTTGGCTGACTGATATATTTAGCTCCAAAAGCCATTTATCTACACGCCTTTGCTAACTATTGACTTGCTATGGTTTGGTGCAAGAGTTTTCAGCTACTCTTTGTTCCTTTAGTAAAGAAAAGAGAAGCATGAGGGACCTCCAGAAGCCTGGACCATTTATTTCAAAGATTTAAAAAATAAAAACGTTAAACTGCTCTGAAGCAAATAATAAGTGAGGGCGTTACATAAATAGTGACTACACCGGATGCAAAAACGTGACATTACTGGATGTTTCCATCACAAAAAGTGTCATCAGTGTTTGCTTTTAACTCTTGTCTTGTTTTAACATCCTCTAATAGGGCAACAGCTACCAAGACAAATTCATCAAATCAATAAGGAGAAGGTTTCTGAGACCAAATATGGCTTATTTCACACTTCATACAAAAAAAACAAAAACAAATATGTATCGCGGAAAATGTGCAGCGGGACTTCATGTTAAACAACGGGCCGTGTTCACAAAAGTACGGGAAGGCAGAAAATTTCCTATAATTTTACGCAAAAAAAATACATTAATTTGAAAGGCAAACCTCAACGTGACCCCACTCTGCCAAGTGTTACGGGTAGAAGCCACTGCCATGACAACACCACCCTCAGTAGTATCATTACACATCTCCTGCATCCCACTCTCCAGCATATTTTATGAGTTTTCAGGCTTTATTTATTTTTTGTGGAATTAATTTGAATAATTTTGGGGCAACGCTACTGAGATTCAGAATTATGATCCGGAATACATTATGCAAAACTTCGGTGCTGCGTGATGGTAGAGGTGTTGATCCAACCTACACAGCTCGACATGCTGAGGAGCCACGTGGCGTGTTACAGCACCCTGTACATTGCCGTGGTTACGCCGCGGCGCATCAGTGCCGTATACGAGAAGGTTTTTGTGGAAATGTAAACCCCGTAAGCTTTGTATTAACATAAAAACATTTTTTAAAGGTCACATTTCTGATTCCAGTTCAAGAAAAATGCAAGAAAATTTGTTGTTTTTTAAAACAAAGCCTGCTTAGAAATGCGTTTATGAAATTAGAGGTTAATTCGGAGCTTTTAGCGTTTGACGACATTTTACGGAAATTAACTTTTTTCTTGTAGATGCAGTTCAGCGTACACAGACACTAAATGACTATAAATGAAACTTTTTTGTTTTATTCACCTTTAGTTTAGGACTAGACAGCCCAGTGAATATATGCTTTCAGAGTGTTGAGGCTTTTACGCATGCTCACTGTGTAAGTTACAAAAATGATAATAATTAATGGGTCTGACCATGTTTTGAAATGTAAGCGAACAATTTAAGGCAGAGGTGCCCAAAATGGGACCGGGGGGGCCAAAATTAATGAAATGTCCCATGAGCCTTTGCTGCCCAAACGTATGTCAAACTTTCTCCAAGTGCACAGCTTTAAAAAAAAATTGGAACAAAACGTGGTGCACTGCACTGGCTGCTAGCTTCATCATTTTATTATTATATTACTGCATTTGGAAGCAGCCCTAAAATAGATTTGGGCCCTCTCTGGAAAAGGTTTGGGGACCCCTGATTTAAGGCAAAGCTTAAATACAACAAAGAGTCTGATCTTTATGTTGGTATTGTTGTCATTTTCTTCTTTAAATCCTTTTGTTACCTCTCGGCGTCTTTCTTTTCCATCTATGGCGTTTGTAGCAGGGGGTCTTCAGTTTCCAGCTGGGCCAACTGTCTGCGCAGGCTGTTCACTTTGGTCTGAAGTTCCTTGTTGTATTCAATAATGTGCACCATTTCATCATAAGCCTCATCCAAACACTTGGAGGAACGGTTCCAGCGAAGGAACACTCCTGTAACAGAACCAAATACAGCAGAAAATATGAGGATACGGGGTTCATGAATTCATTTTTTCATGAACAATGTGTTTTATACATCCTTTAGTTTTTTTCTGCTTGAGTGATTAACATGTGGAAATCTCTAGCTACAGATTTTGAACCGATTTCTGACTGGAACCATTTTAGATCAAGACTGAAGCATTTTCTGAAGGAGAACCAGTTGTGTAATCATAAGTAACCACCATCTTTCTAATGATACTATTATGATCTGTTTTTAAGTTTGTTTTATGAATTGTCTTAATATTGTAATGTTTTATTATTTTAAACTATATTTTAACCATTTTATTTCCCTGTTGCTAAATGTCCATCTAGAGACTGACATTGCAAATTAGCCGTGGCTATAAATGTTTTCGTGTACGGTATTATTAATAGTATCCCTATTCAAATAAACAAGCAAACAAACAAACAAACAAAAAGAAATTAAATAAAAGGTAGCACAAAAAACAGGTGATTTTGTGTTTGGTTAAATATTGCTTTGATGAAGAAGTCTAGAACTAATTACAAAATGCTGATTTTGCTAAGCGCAACTTTAATGGTGTGTGTGGAACGTGTTGCTGTACGACTGGACTGTATGGTGCAGAGACGACTCTTTTTTGCCATGAACTTATTGCTTATATAAAAATCTACACAAATACCATATCTAGATATTATTAATACACCACTAATACAATATCTTCTAAAGATATTACACTTTGTGTGAGAAATAATATGGATAAGGGGTAGAATAAAACATGTTGATATTTTTCCTACTCCTTTTTGAACAGATAAAAAGCTGCATGCTCTTTATTTACGCAGTTAATGATTTGTATGTAATTTTTTTATTTTGTTTTATTATCATCTTTAGTTTTTACTTTTGTGCGTGAGTGTATTGTTGTTGTTTTTTTTTATAAAATTGTACGTGTGAGGTTTCTTTTTTCCTTAACTACTGTGTGCTATAAGGCCATTTTAACCTGTATGAAATAAATAAAATAAAATAAAAAACACTTAAACATACATTTTTATAAACCATAAAAATTCCTTTTAAAACCAAATACATTTCACACACTAACTTACTTTCATTGGCTTGTATATTTGTTTTTTTAAAGTAAAATAACCAGCAACATTTGCAACATCTTATGTTAAAGTCAAAGATTTAACATGTGCCATCAACCACATCAGCAGCTGCGTGTTCGGCATTTCATGGGCTGCTTTAAGTTCACCACAAAGTGTGTCATTTTCAGTGAAAAGGCCTTTGTAGCTGGATGTCACGTGCTCGGTTGCTCAAATGTCTGGTTTCTCTTCATTTAGAAAGAGGGTGTGACCCTCAGCTTCTGGCAGTAAAAGAGGCCTCCCTCAAACTGAATGCATGAACCCTTTAACCTTTGGGAAAAAAAAAATCACCCTCCCCCAACGTCTCTTTATGTGTGCATCAGCACGGATCCCACCAGGACGTTTCTGGATGGTGAAATTCTCAACCCATGGATATTAATGGATTTGACATAAAACTACAAAATTGCAGTGTTGACTAAGAAAAATATTAGGTTTAAAAAAAACTCAAATTTGAGATGAAATGTTACAAACGCTCACATGGTTTGGTTTATTTGTGTGAATTGCACTGAATGAAGCCCGTGCTGAATGGTATACGGACAAAAAGCTCACAGACTTAACGAAAAATTAGATTAAAGGCCAAAATTGTAAATAAGAAACTGTTCCTAATGATTTGCCTGTTGAAATAAATAAATAAATAAATAAATAAAGCTAATGATTTTTTTTTATTTTATAAACACCAAAGGTATATTTGTGACACCCAAGGAGGTTCTATAGAACAGCTGGAGTGCGCAAAAACCATGGTACCATGTGATCGGCTGGTGAAGCTAACGGCTAACCTAAAATGGTCAAGAGTCTGGATTTCCCTTTGCTGTACATGTCACATGTTGACAACAGAGCAGAAAAAAAGGGCTGACGATGTAGAAATCATAAAAATATTAATAATAATATTAACAAGATTATTATTAATATTTTACAGTTTATATAATCTGTCTAATGTTTTAAATAATGTCAGAAAAGCTGTTTGTGTTATGGATTTATTAACAGAAGATAAACAGGAAAACGTCTCATTTCACAACACAAGTCAGCAGATTTGATCTTATTTAGCTCAAAGTGATCTGAGCAGAACATAATGTAACAGTTTAAAATTAAAATAATCTTATAAAGTCGATGTAATCACTGTTATTTATTGAACTGGTTAACAGATATTAGCTTGTGGAGCATTTATACAGAGTTTAGCACTGTTGAATCATGCTACAATTTAACAAACTATTAAATATTACTTTGTCTTCTGATTAATATTTAGACCTACAGAGTGTAAAATAATATTATAAATTTAAGTATTTTTAGGTTTCTGTTAGAAGAACCTGACTTGTTGAGAAGATGTTAGCTAATAGAGACAAGTTTCATCCTATAACCTGAGAACATTTTCTAACTGTTGACTGTTAAATATAAATACTCTTATATTTTATGACAGTAAGAAAAAATATTAAATATACTTTATTACAGCTGAAGTCATCATTTTTCAACTAGCTAAAGTCTAAGTTACAGGCTGACTTCAGGTCTGGTTTAGATCATTGTTACTTATAAATTATATATTTTTCTGGTATAAATCTGTTGTTTTACATGATTGTTGAATGAAATTAACATAATTATTAATTTATTGTAAAAACATGACCGATAATCTGTGAAACAGATCTGGTTCAGCTGCTGTTTATCTATTAGTTTCTATGGAGGCTGTGAGCTGTTGTCCTGTTTGGTCTGTTTCTGCTCCTCCATGCTGTCACAGAGGCTACCAGTGGACAGGATGGGCGGGGCTCAGTCTAGTGATCTTTATATTTAAGTCTATAGTGACACCTCAGAGTTGCTCCCACATCTTAATTTATTTTTACCAATTCTGTATTCACTTGAGCAAGACTGAGCAGTTACTATATTGATGAGTGTTTTTAATCTCTTACAATATGCTTAAATTTGTAATGTGATATATGTATAATGTATGAGAATGTGTTTTGATATAAATCTTATGCACTTTTACTGTGATGCAATGTGTGGCTGATAAAATTTGTAGAATTTGTGAGCTTTTGTCTGGAACAAGTGCTAAATATACCTATTCCAGTGGTCCTGTAATGATTAGGATTACTGTTTTCTATTATGCTACCATAATAAACTAGAGTTTTTGTAACTAACTTTCAGTAACACATTGAAATATGGTTATTTGTGCAACTCATTATAATGAGTCTTACATAAGATATGATGAACTTACGCTGTTTCCTATAAAGCAGTATAAAGTGTTTACAATCAGAAATAAAATGTCGTGCAACGTCTGTTGAACGAGTGGACATAATGTGAGCTTATAAAACGCTTCAACTTTGAGTTCAGAAAGCTTACTTATTATTCTTTTTGTTGATTTGTAACTCGGGACTTTGAATTTGTCTGTAGGTTCACAGATTTAGCTTTTATATCTTTTATAACCTTTTTACAGACAAATTTACCAGAAAGTTTGACCTGAAAATTTATCGAAAAGACCAGAAATCATGTAAGAAAACTTTATTAAAACATCACTCAGCAAGATAGAGAAAAAAAGTTTGGTATACTGTTCTAATGATACAAACCTTTCAAGATGATCAGTCACATTTATTTCTTTGACGTACATTTAAATATGGTCCTTATCGGTATTTATGATGTTTCTGAATGAAGTATTTGAACAGGCAAGTCTGCGAGTGAAGCCACAAGTGCCAAACTGAGGACTGGTAGTAAAAATGTTGTCCACTAACAAGCATCAGCAGGCTCAGGTGTCAGTGATGATTTACCCTCAGCGCACACCGTCATAATAAGAGGGGGCAGGATGAACACAGCGCTGATGCATGTTGTCGAGAAATCACAGCAAAGTTTTTAAAGGAAGGTTAGTACTGGATACGAGCAAAGTTAGTCAAACAGAATTTGGAAAATCGTACTTAATAGGATAATTTTTTTTCTTTTTATTAAATAAGATTGTGTATGGCACATAGGGGTTAAAATAATTAGCTTTAGTATTATTCAAAAAAGAGTAACTGCTACTATTTCCATTTGAGATTACTTATCAAAACAAAAGCTTATCTTCACAGGTCTCAGAACTTTGTGTGCCTACAGTATACTATAAAAAATTTGGACAAAAATAATTGTAAAAACAAAAAGAATAGATTTTTCTCTGCAACTCAGTAGATTTATTGTGATAGTGAAGCACTAGTGTGTAGCTTTGTAAAGCAGAAGCCAATCAAAATGATCAAATTTAAAAATGTCTTTAAAAGCAGGGTTGAGCATAATCGTATCGTGTGCAATTAATCGTCAGAAAAACATTAATCGATTATTTTTTACACTTGACGATTAATACGATTAATGCCACAAGGCAGACTGCTCGGTGCTCCTCTCTACTTCAAATATGATGAACATTAAAAAAAAGTTCTGTAATTTTTTTATTTATCATCAAAATTTAAAATTTCCTGTATTGCCTGAAGACTGTAATTTTGACACAAATTGGAACAGATTTTTACGAAGAGCAAATCTTTCCCACTAAATAGGTTATGTGACCAGGACATAAGGGTGTCCAGGGACTCCAGGGGATTAATCGTCAAAATAATCGTTATCAGCTAAATACCACAATTAATCGTGATTAATTTTTTTGCCAATATTGCCCAACCCTATTTAAAAGTGTTGATTGTTGGCTCACAGGGTGACTCTGTTAAGTAAAGCTACAGATGATCAAAATATAAAAATATTAGTGCCCTCTTCTGGTGAAATTTATGATTTTCTGCCACAAAAATGTAACTCCATCATGGTTACTTAGTTTTTTTCAACTGAGTAGCAACAGCTGATTTAAATGTTTATTTTTTTTAATTTAACCTTTGAGGTTTCATGTTTAGTCTAAGAATAATCTCAACACATGAGTCAAAACCAAACTGGTATGAGGGCTAATGTGTCAGGAATGCTGTTGGTAATATGGACCCCTCTCAGGTACTGATTAAACCTCCCAACACATTCAGCTGTTTTTAAGTGTGTATATAAATAAACTAAATGTCCAATGTTTCAAGTAGAAACTTCAAACAAGGGTGAACAAATATTCATGCAAAGGTGACCCCAGCTTCGGGTGTAACCAGGAAATGAAACGTTGCTAAAACAAAACCATCTGCGTGGGACAGTGAGGGTTTTTTTTTATCCTTATTACTTTTTCCACAATTTTAGCTTTCTTCAAGTCAGTTCCTGTGTTGTGTTGATTTGTTGCTCACCTTCCCACAGCAGCAGACTCTGAGGAGCCACAGAGGGCCAGATCACAAGGCTGTTGGCCTCGTAAAGAGGGTTGGTCAGACGCTCCAGCTCCTGTGGCCGATTGACCCATGACCAAAGGGACACGGTCTTTTCACGGAGACACAGACTGGTTCTGTAAAAAGCCAAGGAGGATACTGAGTGTCTCTACTTTTTCTAATTGTGGCTCATAACGTAGAAAAAAGTAGAACTAAATAAGACACCGTTAACGATTTCAGTTAAAATGTCAGAAAAAAGCAGAGGAGTCAAAATCATACATGTACAGTGGGGAAAATAAGTATTTAGTCAGTCACCAATTGTGCAAGTTCTCCCACTT